CAATTTGAAGCCCTGGTCTACAGAAAATAACCCAATTTTAGGGAAAAAAACCCCTTCATGTTATGCTTAAAGATGCTCATCCTTAGGGGCTCGTACCGTGGCATATGGGTTAAGCTGCTGTCTGAAGTGCTGGCATCACGTATGGGAGCTAGTTAAGAGTCCTGGCGGCTCCACTTCAGATCTAACTCCCTTCTAATGCACTGGGACAGCAATGGATCATGGCCCAAGACCCATGTGGCAGACCCAGATAGCTAACGCTCCTGGCCTCAGCCTGGTCCAGTTCCAGCCGTGTGGCCATTTGAAAACTCAATCAGCCAAGAAAAGGCCTCTCCCTAGCTCTCGTTTTTCTCTAATTCTTCCTTTCGAACAAATAAAATTTAAAAATCTTAAAATAAAGAGAGAAAACACCAAGAGACAGATATGTAAAAGTGATAATTTATCCCAAATGGGGGTACTAATAAAACTTTCTAAGATACCGTACAGGTTGTGTGAGAGCTAGGAGCTGTAATGGACCAAGCCAGGCTGGAACGTGGTACTCAGCTGACCAGGCTGGGAGGAACAGGATGTGGCACCTGCTGGCACATGCCAATTCTGGGCCTGGAAGAAGTTGGGGAGAGCCCGGGCTAAGAGCAGGCCAGGCCAGGCAAGCCTGCAGCACTGATTAGCATTCGTACGAGCAGGGTCTAGGGACAGGCAGGACTGGGCTGGGCTAGGCAGAAGCACCCACCAGCACGCACAAGAACACAAGAAGAGGCCTGGAATATGCCTGGCTAGGCTGAAGCTCTCACTGCTCTGCCCAAGAGCTGGGGCTGCTGGTGTACTGGGCTGGGCAAGGCTGCAGTACTCATTGGCACCGCATCTGCGCTGGGTCTGGGAGTGGGCTAGACTGGGTGTAGGACAGGTTGGGTGACGCCAAGGTACCCACCAGGACACTCAAGAGCCAGAATGGGTGTATGCCAGTCAGGCTGGGCCACAGTACCTCCCAGCACTCATAAAGATTTGGGGGTTAGGGACAGGCCTGGCAGGGGAACCTACAGAACTCCCCTGCTAGGTTGCAGCTTCCGCTGGTAAGCAGGAGAGCCAGAACCGGAGGAAGGCCAGGTCAGGCTGCAGCACCTGTAAGGATACACACTGGTCTGGGGGCAGGTTAGGCTGGGCCAGTTCACACTACACGTTGACACAAGAGTCAGGCTGGGGTAACACATAAGGTCAGGTTAGACCGCAACACCCAACAGTCCACATGAGCGCTGGAGCTGGAAGTGAGCCAGGACCATTGTAGGCCCGCTGAACCAGGCTGCAGCACCGGCTGGCACACATAAGACCCAGGGCTGGGAGTGGACCTGCAGGGGAACCTTGAGTACTCTCCTGCTGGGCTGCTGCTCCCACTGGAGAAAATGAGAGCTGCAACTTGGGGCAGATTTGTCTAGGATAGGCTGCTGCATCCACTGGCAAGAGAAGAGGGTGTGAGCAAGCCAGACTAGGCCACAGCAATAGCTGCTAAGTGCTGGGACTAGATGCAAGTTATGTCGTGCTATGCCACAGTACACTCTGACAGGCACAAGATCTGGTGCTGGAAACGGACTTGGCAGGGGAACTGTGGATACTACCCTGTTGGATTGTAGTAACACTAGGGAGTATGGTGGGGGTTGTTGGGGGTCATTCAGATTAGGCTGAGGCACCTGCTGGTGTGTGTGACAAACAGACCTATGGAAGGCTGAACTGGGCTAAGCCGCAGGACCTGTCAGTTCACTTGAGAGATGGGGCTGGGGGCAGGTATGTGCATTGGCTGTTAAAAGTAACAGACTGAGCCTGATCCTGCCCGGGCCGGCTCACACAAGAGTCAAGTCTGAGGTCACATTCCCAGGTAAGGTTTCTTGGGGGACTCCCCAACTAGACTGCTGGACTCAAACTACAGTCACAGGAGGAAATCACAAGACATGTGGTTTGACCATGTACCAGGACCAGGCCTCCTCAACGGCTGATGCCTATGCAGTGGCCAGCATGCCCAGATGTACGGGGGACATGGCAGCCAGCTTATTTAGGCCAGCAGAGGACATCCAGTGCCACGTCGGAGGATGAAAAGTGGAGCAGGTTGGACAATTTTCCTGGTCAAGCTTTGCAGTAAGTAGGGTCTATGAATACACTAAGGTGGACTTGGTCAACCAGCACACCTTTGAAAATGTGTTCAATTAACACCTCAGGACATTCTTCCCTCAATCGGGGTCTCTAAAGTGGCAGCAAATGCTTGTTCCTCATCCCCAGGTGCTGATGTAGTTTGACAGCAAGGGGCGGTCCCCTCCCCTTCCTTCCCTACAAACACTGTAGAATGATCTTCAGAATCTTTGCTACTGGGGAGCCGCAGCCAGTTGAATCTCCCCTGAAGGCACCGGGAGCAAATGATATAGAGATGAATAAGCAGGAGGCCTCCAGGTTCACAGGTTTAGATGAAGTACCTGCCAGAGCACTGGGAGACTGTCGCTTGCTGTTGAGATGCAAATGGCCCAAGCCCCGCCTCCCTACATGTCTAGTACATAACCATTTTCTTTGTTTAAAAAGACTTATTTATTTTTATTGGAAAGTCAGATATACAGAGAGGAAGATCTTCCGTCCGATGATTCACTCCCCAAGTGACCACAACAGCCAGTGCTGCGCCAATTTGAAGTCAAGAGTCAAGAACCTCCTCCAGATCTTCCGCAAGGGTGCAGGGTCCCAAGGCTTTGGGCTGTTTTCCACCGCTTTCCCAGGCCACAAGCAGGGAGCTGGATGGGAAGTGGAGCTGCCAGGTTTAGAACCGGCGCCCATATGGGATCCTGGTGTGTTCAGGGAGAGGACTTTAGCTGCTAGGCCATGCCGCCGGGCCCAACACCTTTTTTTTTTTTTAAATGTTTCCAGTTTTAATTGGGAAAACAAAAATCTCAAAACATACATACATTTAGAGGGAAAAGGAGGAGGAATTGCCAATATCGATCTACAATTGTTAATGACCGATTCTACATTTTTCTACTTAAATTCCAAGTTTGAAAGTTTACTCTACTTTTTTTTCTATACATTTACCCGTTTGCACATCAACATTAAATGACTCAATGACACGGTGTAGAAACTCATTCAGCTTTCTGGCTCAACCATTTCACTTCTAAAACTGAAACTGCGTTATGTTCAGACTCCTTCTCTGCACTGTATTGGACTGTGTACCTCTTATCATTACAATTCATATATGTGGATCACAAACATTAAAAAAAAACTATTGCTTTTTATACCAAAATCCAGGTTTACAAGAGAATATAATTGTCTTCCAGAGATGAAAAAAAAAAAAAAAACCCTAACATTAATAATGTTTAAAAGGCATGTGTTTTATTCTTCCTGTACATATTTTAGACAAAACATTTATCAGCTAACTATGCTCTCTCACACGCTGTATTCACTGAGTTTACTAACCACAGTTTTAGTGCAGCAAAATATCTCTGCAAAGCAACTCTACAATAATTACAGCAAGGCTCATTAAAATGCAGAGGTAAGTATTTCATTTGTGTAGAAGCTTAGAAAATGTTTGAAAATGTTTGATCACACTGAATATTCGCTGTATGCTAAAAATATTTAGAAACATATCTTGAATTAACCTTACAATCAATTTTGGTGCATCATGACATAGTGGGAATAAACTTTGAGAGGTATATATTTAACAAACATCACTGAGAGTATAGTTTCAGGTAAACATTTAATACACAATGCCAAGGTAGTTTTCTTTTTTTTTTAATTTTTGTACCAAAAAGTCTTACATTTAACATTGACATTTTCTCTTACTGTGTGCCTCAGATTAATAAAGTACTCTGCATTAAAATTTAAATCTTGAGATAGTAGTACAGCACTGAAAAAAACGGTAAAGCAGCTCGGAAACACTGAATCTAGATTTTACATCTTCATTTGTCAGAATAGAATATAAAAAGTAAGCTTGAAAATCAACTTGAAAAAGCTTATTCTTCCTCAAGAAAAAGTATGAACAATCTGAAAATGATCAACAAGCATGAATGAAACATTGTACGTAGTTAAATCACCACCAGTGTCCACGTGTTATTATAGGCTGCGCACCAAGTCCATCGCTGCAGAACAGTGACAGACACCGAATAAGAAACAAAACTGAGAGCCCAGCACATATTCCAGTGGCTACACCCTCGCCTTGCATGCACCGAGCTCACATGCGGACGCTGGTTAGAGTCCCGCCTGCTCTGCTCCCACCCAGCTCTCTGTGGCCTGGGACCCTGCACCCGTGCGCAGGCCGGGAAGAAGCTCCAGGCTCCTGCCTTTGGATCAGCACAGCCCTTGCTGCTGTGGGCACTTGGGGAGTGAACCAGTGGACAGAAGTTCTCTCTGTAAATCTGCTGTTGCAATAAGAATAAATCTTGGAAGTCTTTTTCACAGACCAATGCATCAGAATGTCTCAGACCACCAAAGTTTAAACACACACACACAAAACCACAAAAAAACCTGAAACACTTTGTCTCAGCCACCTTCCTCCCCGCCCTAAAGGAGACCCACACGGATGCCCAGCCCTCTCAACCACACAAATAATGCTGAAATAAAACTTAAAAACTCTATCCAGAAGGGATACAGAAAATTAAAGTGAAGACCATTCCTCAAACTGAGAAAAATCTGCTTCATTTCACACCTGGTTTAAATACACTTTGAAGTCTATACAAATTCCACCATGTAAAAAACAGTGTTTTGAAAAGTGACCTGACAGTTCACTCTAACTGCTTCTCACCTGGCACCTGCAGCTGCTCTCCCAACAACTCAGACTCACACTCTCCGCCCACTTGTGTGACTGGCACTGCTGGGGCACGAAGGCCTTGTTCCCATTTGCTCTCCCTTAGCCCAAAAGATCTTTTGCTGAGTCTTACAGTAAAAAATTTGAAAATGAGTGTTTCTGCGCAATTGCAGGTGAGCAGCTGTGGAAAGTCACACAGCGCAGCCCAGCTCGGAGCACGCGTGTCTGCAGAACTCACCTGCGTGTAGAAGCCACTAGCTGCCTCGAGGAACAGGGAGAGGTTCGCCTGCACTTCACTCCGGTTCGGGTTTGCACGATTCTTTGCCTGGCCTTGCAGCGTTGTGATCTGATTCTTAAAGGCGTGATTCCAGCTGAAAACAAAACACGATTCCATTTGGTCAGCAGACAAGAGTCTCCCTGGTAACGAGCATGGCGTGTTCGGTGTAGTTACGCCAAACTAGCAGAAAGCCTGCGTTAAAGCTACGACTCCGATAACTACGCTCCCCTGTGAACAGACTGGACGTGCAGAACACAGCCAACCTCAGCAAGCCCTTACCGCATGCTCAGTAATCGCACTATGCCTTCAGCGACTGCAGCCTCAAGCTGAGGGATCCCACCGCATAATCACGGCCACAGTGATAAAAGCTGTTGGCAAATTTCCAGACAGCGTGCCCAAAGCGACTGCTCCCTGTCCAGTGATGACGCGTTTGTAAAACCCTATCTCCAAAAGCTATCCCTATGGTTTTCAGTTCTATTTCATAGCTGTATTTCTCTCAAGATTAACATTTTCTTTAGCGTCTAAAATACAAGCCACGTTTCAATTTTGGCTCTTTAAAATAAACATGAGGTTGACACATAGCACACTTAATGGTGTTATAAAATGCCTTAACAATTAATTTATATTTAAAAATCGGCTTAAATTTAGTTATGGTGAAATACAGTCACTGACTTGAAAGCCGCCACCAGCAAACAGACGAGTCCCCACTGTACCTGCAATCACACCCCACACATCGACCCGAGGCTCTGTGCAGCAGGCACCAGGTCTCTGGTCTGCCGAGGGCCATCTGTGTATCACAGAGTGATCCACCGGGCATCTAGATGGCCGCAGATGGACACTCGCTGGCTTTCTGGCCGCTCCGGCAGGGCCCCACCACAGGTGTGAGGTGTGATTAGTCACTTACCCTGAGGTGGCATGTTGGGTTGGTTTCCTCGGGGACAGCTCGCCCTTGACCCCAGCTCCACGGCCATGGGGCTGTGACCTACTGTGACTGAAAGCCACTGCAAGATTCCCAAAACCACTACGTACCCCAGAAAGCTGCCCAAGATGGGGAGAACCAACCCTTCCCACCACTTAAGGTTAGGGTGTTGGCAGGCAGAACACTTGAACTGACTCGAACTTGCCCGCAGGTGACTGTTCCTGCTGCCTTACAGCAGAGGGCAAGCGGCCTGGTTTTCTGTCGTTCCATTCCTTACAGAGAACACAGCAAATAGTTCAACTACACAAAATGCTTCTTTGGTCTTATATGGAAAAAAAGAAAATACTGATAAATATTGAAGAGTTTTCTATACAAGGCAAATGCATTGTCCTCCTGGAGGAATAGACAGATCACTTAGAGAGCCCAGAGTTTCCCAAACTCTCTTGAATGTTTTCCTTTAGACCTGCTTTCCGCGTGGGGCGAGGCGCACAGAATGAAGCCCCAGGACTGTCAGCAATCAGAACAAGCCTTTGGCAGTTACTCTTTCCGAGCTACGAGGGGCTTCCTGAGGCTCCCTGCAAGAGCCGTCCACAACAGGTGAACACCACGCATTCTCCTTCTCCGCTCCAGACTGTCTGAACTAATACGCGCTCTTCAGAAAAGCTCACTACGACGCACTTCTGAAAACAAACAAGCCACCTTCCTCAAGTCTTGACGCGTTTCTTGCTCAAACAAGGATGCTCAGGTGACAATACTTACAGATCCTGCTCGACTTTCTTGTCTAAAGCGTACTCCAGGTCAGTGACCAGCATCTTCTGGTACAGGTCTTGCAAAGCCTGTCTGGACGTCCAGACCTCCGCAGGCCCCAGCTTAGAATCTGAGTGATAAACAAAGACACAACACACAGGTCAACACACAGACACCATCGCCTTCACAAGGACGCCCCCCTGTGGCTAGTGACTCTGCTGTAAAATGCCTCTGCTTCTATCTTTCAGCTTTGAAAAACCATCATGAAACAGAAATAGCTAAAATCAGCAAGTGACACCCTATCTTATGCATATCCTAACAAGCCAGCGGCCTGCCAGACACCCTGCTGGATGGCACAGGTGGCTAAAGTTGGTCTGATGAGGACAGGGACAGCTGCTAGCAGAGGCCAAAGGGGATGCTGGGTGTGGCAGAAAGGAGGACACTGCAGCTTGTCCGCATGAAAGCAGGCCACCCTGTCTGTCAGCGCCCTGGACAGCGCAGGGCCCTCTCAGGTCCAGAGGTGCCCACTGGGCACACGCTCACCAGGCTCCTAGGGAGACTGCCCCAGGTGCCCACAGCTGCCTCCGGGCAGGACCTTAGCTCCCCTCAGGTCTGCGGGATAGCAAGTTCTTCACCAGCCTTGCTAAACAGACTGATTTATCATCTACTGAATGAGGAAATCTGACACCTTGGCTCAAGTTTCTGAGCAGCCCACGCCCACTATAAAAAGCCAACCCAGAGTGACTTACTGAGGGAAGAATAACACCACTTCCAGAGGCAATTCCAGGGGATGCCCGTGCACAGCATAGAGAAATAAGCCTGCTTACAGGAGAGGAACCAGGCTTTTCTCTGGGTGAAACTAAGATCGCCAAGGCCTCCTGGCACAGCAGCCTGTGGCCTACCACGTTGGGAATGAAATCTCTCACTGTGGAGCTCTCCTCCTGGGCCTTCCTGCCGAGGTGTCCCTCACACTGCGACAGAGGGCAGGCTGTTCACACACACTTCCAAGTGTGGAGCTACAACCTGTCCCTGACTGGTTAAGTTTACTCATTGTCCCCAAAGTCTTCAGCCATCACTCAGAATAGAAAAGAAAGCCGGTGAGGTAACTCAGTCAACTTCAAGGCCTTCCAGTATTGTTCTCCTGCAAACATTTTTTTGCAGCATTATCTACTGCTCAAGTTCGGGACGTACGTTTCTGCAGGAAGGCGTTAATGCAACACCGTAAGACGTCTGCTTCATGCGGGTATGCGTTATTGTTTTCCTTATTTCCTCAACCGTTTAAAACTAAGTGGGTACATACACTAAATTAGGGAATATTCAACTCAGTGTAGCATATATTAAAGTTCTTGACAGGTTAAAATAAGAATTGGAATCATTAAAAGCAATACTGAAGTCCAACAGCACGCTGTCATTCCTCTGGCGCTCAGCGAAGACACAGCAGCCGTACCTGTCATGTCAGCCTTCAGGACTTCTGCCTGCCTGCGGGGGGAAACAAACAGGCGTCAGCGTGCGCACAGCGGGCACGGCCACGGCGGGCACGGCCACAGCGGGCACAGCCACAGTGGCCGCACGGGGCTGCTGCCAGCAGTGTCCTCTTGTTTGCCTCCAAATCTCATCACTGAAGAAAACAAAGTGTCTTATTAATTAAATTAAATGCTGAAAATATTGTGGTCATTTCAAAAAAAGTGCATCATTTTAAAAATATAAGCTTATGTTTAATGTTCACACTATTTTTTGGAAGTTTTGTTTATTTGAAAGGCAAGAGAGAGATATTCTCCACCTCCTGGCTCACCGCCCACATGGTTGTTAAGAGCCAGGACCTGAACCAGTCCCACGGGAAGGGGCTTCGCCACAGCGCCAAGCCTGCCCCTGCCACGACCCTGAAGCCTACCTCTCAGCCGGACCCTTGCTACTCCTAGCACTTAAACACGTCTAACTTGCTCATACTTTCTGATCCTGTTCCTTCTGCCTCTCTTTTGAAAAAAGTGTCTGTATTTGATGCCTGTCTGTACAGTGGCTGTTCTATTTCCCACCTAACTCCCTGCTCGGGGATGGCCCAAAGCCTTAGGACCTGGCACCCACGTGGGAGACCCGGAAGAAGCTCCTGGCTCCAGGCTTTGCATAAGTTCAGCTCTGCCCACTGTGGCCATGTGGGGAGTGAATCAGCAGATGGAAGTTTTCTCTCTCTGCATCTCCTTCTCTCTGTAAACGTGCTTTCAAAAAAACAAACAAACAAAAAACCCCCAAAACCAAACCTGACGGCATCGAGGTCCAGGCTTGAACTCACAACTTGTGATATGCAGTCTCAGTTCTCCCTCATGTGGACCACACAAGGCTGGGAAGGCCCCTTCCTCCTACATACATAGCATGCATCACTAAAGGATGTCTCTTGTCCACTTCCCTCCTTTCCTTGCCTGCCGCGCTCCCACCAGTGCAGTCGCCCTGGCTGGCTGACCACTAAGGCCCTGTCCGCCAACTGCTGCCAGCGGGGTTTTGGAGAAGCAAACCTGACCCATCAAGAGTCCACCTAAAACCTTGCAGGGAGCAGAGGACAGTGTCCTGACTGTAGTGTCCACCACAAAACCGCCGTGCACTCTGCAACAGTCTCCGCGCATCTCCTCACTGCTCCTCACCCTGCCAGCCACCGACCACCAAGGCCTGCTGTGCCTGCTGGCTTCTCCACCCTCGTGGGGCCTCCCCACCTGCCTGCCTGGGGACGGCCACTTATTCTCCTCCTCCAGAAAGCCCACCAAGATCGCACGGGCGCCAGCTTCCCTCTCACAGCACACTCCTACCACAACCCGCCAGGCAGTACAGGGCACAGGCGGACGCAGGGACACTGACATCCAAGAGCTGGACCACAAGTGGGCGGCCAGGCCTGAACCAGCCACTCGGGACACTAGAGCTGCAGTGGCCACAACACTGACCTCAAGATTTCCATTGTTAAAATACATGTCTGACATGAAAGTTACAGAATATTAAGGCTCTAGACTTTCTACAGTAGGTATTACTTCAGACTTAGGTTCTTTAATATTCATTGTGAATTTTAATTTCCTACCAGTGTGATTAGAATCCTTCCATGCTTTGGACCACAGCAGGGTGCAAGGAAGGACACGAGGCCAACATGGGGTCAAGGTAAGATGGCTGGTCCCACACCCAACGCCCCATGCACACAGCATGGCCTCCCCGAGACAAGCCTGGGAGGTTATGGCCACCAGGGCACACAGCATGAGAAGGCACGCCCCACCAGCCACCACAACACAACCACAGCCTGCCTCCCTTCTTCTGACTCCCGCAAAAGTGCAATTATGCATCCAGCTAGGGCCAGCCAAGCCCTGGATTCACTCCGCCCTTAAGCTGCAAAGCTAAAGGATCAATTTCCTCTGCACCCTCATGTTAGCAAAAATTCTTAGAATCATGCATCTGGGCCTGGCACAGTAGCCTAGCAGCTAAGTCCTCACCTTGCACACACTGGGACCCCATGTAGGAGCCAGTTTATGTCCTGGCAGCCCCGCTTCCCATTCAGTTCCCTGTTTGTAGCCTGGGAAAGCAGTCGAGGATGGCCCAACGCCTTGGGATCCTGCACCCATGCGGGAGACCTGGAGGAAGTTCCTGGCTCCTGGCTTCAGATCAGCTGAGCTCCGGCCACTGTGGTCACTTGGGGAGTGGGTCACTGGACGGAAGATCTATCTTCCTCTCTGTCTCTCCTCTTCTCTGTATATCTGACTTTGCAATAAAAATAAATTTTAAAAAATCATGCTTTTGAAGGTTTTCTCATTCCAAACAATATTTATATAGACAAATATCAACAAAGAGCCAACATACTAAAATCATAATCTGTCCAAAAAATTTTTTAAAACAAGAAGTTCAAGTGCGAACAGAAGCACGGAATAAAGCCCGTGCGACTGTCAGCACGACAACACAGCAGGAGTCCGGCTCGCTCTCAAAGTTTTGTTCTTTTTGATTCCAAAGGCCAAGTTATTTCCATTTCTTTCAAAGTAAAATAAAAAAATTCTATGGCAAAAAACTAACAGGCTTGTCTGTTTTCTGCTGTCAATTAAACAACTAATTTTTAAAAACATTTTTTCTAAAAGAAATTAAATTCAAAGTTTCCCAGCAAGCTGATAAGAAATTCAACTCCCTGTGAGTGAAAGCCCTTCCCTGGGGACATATGTGACTGTCCCGCCGGAGCAAGGCCACAGCCCGAACTGACTGTCCCTGGGGGCCTGACTCTCTGACTGGTCTTGGTGTAGCAAGGCCTGCACTGACCCATGGCCTCACATCACCTTAAGCACTTACTGTCTGGGATCTCAACAGAAAAAGTTCATTATTTTCTGCTCCAGGGAACACATGAACAAAGGGCTGAGTGCAAAGACCGCAAGTCCCTAAGTCAAGTGGCTTTCTCCCAGGAGCAGTTTTCCACAATAGAGGGGAAGGCAGTTTCTCTTAGTATCTCCAACTTGTCACAAACAGGACTAAGGAACAAAGTGCTGCACACCAGGGGAAGCAGTGAGCTCACGGAGGCCATGCAGGAGTTTATTTTTATTGCAAAGTCAAATATACAGAAGAGAGGAAGAAACAGAGAGGAAAATCCTCCATCCGATGATTCACTCCCCAAGCGGCCGCAACAGCCAGAGCTGTGCCAATCCGAAGCCAGGAGCCAGGAACGTCCTCCAGGTCACCCACGAGGATGCAGGGTCCCGAGGCTTTGGGCCGTCCTTGACTGCTTTCCCAGGCCACAAGCAGGGAACTGGATGGGAAGCAGAGCCGCTGGGGTACAAATCAGTGCCAATATGGGATCTTGGTGCATTCAAGGTGAGGACTTTAGCCACTAGGCCACCGTGCAGGAGTTTTGACTGAACTGGTTGGCAAACTTTGAAGCAAGACGTGGTCTCTATTATTCACTAACTTTTCCCCCATGTCCCCCAAACAGTTATTTAGACAGGTGGGAGAAATAAGAGTTCTTACAAAGAGGAGGGACCTTATTTTCCTATTCCTAAATAACTGCTATCTTTCTATTTCTTCTTCTCTTTTGCAATATAATTACCAAGAAAAACAATGGAGCTGTGCTCTGACACAAATGCTTTACTAAGTGTTAGCAAGCACCTGTTCTGTTATTTGATATGTAAAGACAGTAACAGCACGCTGTACTGTGCAGCAGGTCACGGCCACGCCCCGACCTGGGCCAATGCGAGGCTGCCAGCCCAGGCCTGCGCACCGCTCAGAGCTTTCAATGTCTTCCCTCAACATTCTTCATTCAAGCTGAAGAGATGAACTAAAAGAATGGATAAACCAAACATCTAAGAACTGCAACGTTCATATCTTTAATATCCGGCACCATGGCCTAGTGGCTTAAGTCCTTGCCTTGAACACACCGGGATCCCACATGGGCACCGGTTCTAATCCTAGCAGCTCCACTTCCCATCCAGCTCCCTGCCTGTGGCCTGGGAAAGCAGAAGAGAACGGCCCAAAGCCTTAGGACCCTGTACCCGCGTGGGAGACCTGGGAGCAGCTCCTGGCTCCCGCCTCATCTCCGGCCATTATGGCCACTTGGGGAGTAAATCAGCAGAGAGACCATCTTCTCTGTCTCTCCTCCTCTCTGTATCTTTCCAAGAAAAATAAATCTTCCCACAACACAGCGCTTCCTGCTGCTGAGGGTCTCGGTCCTCGCTGCACAGCTGAGGGTCTCGGTCCTCGCTGCACAGCTGAGGAGCCCACAGAGGCCAGGGCCAGGCAGAAGTGCCCACCACCCCCGTCAGAACACATTCACAGAAGACTCTGATAGCCCATACACTGGGCACTGAACAATCACTTCACAATAAAATGTTTAAATGCATCACTAGGAGAAAAAACTAAAATCTGGGTTACCTTCTTGATTATACCTGGATTATACAAAGTATTTAAACAATGCAAGGTAAGAAATAAAGGGTGCTCTTTCTTTCTTTTTTTTTTAATTAGCTCTTCTTCATTCTTTTTTTTCCCCAAGATTTATTTATTTATTGGAAAGTCAGATATACAGAGAGGAGGAGAGACAAGGAGGAAGATCTTCCATCCGATGATTCACTCCCCAAGTGACCACAACGGCCAGTGCTGCACCAATCCAAAGTCAAGAGCCAAGAACCTCCTCCAGATCTCCCGCATGGGTGCAGGGTCCCAAGGCTTTGGGCCGACCTCGACTGCTTTCCCAGGCCACAAGCAGGGAGCTGGATGGGAAGTGGAGCTGCCAGGATTAGAACCGGCGCCCATATAGAATCCTGGCACATTCAAGGCGAGGATTTAAGCAGCTAGGCCACGCAACCAGGCCCAGGGTGCTCTTTCTTAAGAATGAATGCACATGGTAAGACTCACGGTCCGAAAATTCCCAATCAAGGGTAATGCAGGAAGACATTCCCTCTGCCAACGCCCAGCTCCCCTCTCCATCAGCAGGATTCCAGGGAAGTAGTGGGAGCCAGCACGGAGCGAGCACGGAGCCAGCATGGAGCCAGCACGGAGCGAGCACGGAGCGAGCACGCCAGCACACAGCCCTGCTGGCTTTGGGAGGGTGTGTTTCTAAGACTATCAGGATTAGTATCTAAGCAAAAGCTAAAGTAGGCTCTAAGTTGTCACTCTGTTCACTTTTTCCTAGTTATTTCCATGGAATCTTTAGCCATCTGGATAATAACATTCATCAACTGTAGTAATAAACATGAAACCCTAATCACAATTATTTGTGCCAACAAACAGCAGACGGGACAGGCTAACCCCAGCACGCATGCACAGTCTCAGGGTGTCAGAGACCGCCAGCCACAGCGCTATGCTGCTGACTACATGAGAAAAGACCCCACCGAGCGGTGGCTCGGTCAGCTCAGCACTCAGCCCAGCCGAGACACTGAGGAAGCCACAGTGGTGCGGGAAGCCAGGGACAACCACAGAGCACTGTCACAGAGGCCCGTTCCCAACATCACAAGATGTCCAGAAGTTCAAGACTGAAGCGAGGAGGTGACAATACGGAAGGGTGAGGAGAATATGGCCAGGAAATGGGAAGAGACCTTCAAAACTTCAAGAGAAATGAAATCAAAGTTTCATCTCTTGACCCGAGCTGCACCAGGCTCAGGGCAGCCCTGTGAACAGTGAGCCGACAGCTAGGCCATCCCTGAGGACCGAGGCCCTGGGAATGGGACTGTGCACCACTCGTACCTAAAGAAAAATGGATGCCCTTCAAAGATTTTTCAAGGTTAGGAAGCAAAACAGTGGAAACAGAAGTTTAAACCAGGTGGATGTCAAAGAATCTCCCAGTGAGACTCATGTAATGAGGAATGAGTGCGCAGCCCTTGGAGCAAGGGGCATCCCGGTGTGGGACGGGAGCAGGGTGACTACATGGCAGTCCCCACTCGGGGATTTCTCTTCTGATTGCACCATTACAGCCACAAGTCAGCTCCTGTCAGGACTTCTCCATGTTTCAGCATGTTAATCCCTTTGAAAGCAGTGGGCAGCACAGGCAGAGGCTGGACCAGCAGAGGGTCCACAGTGACCACTGCTGTTAGCCCGTGCCCCCTCCCCGCCGGGAGGGCACCTTAAGAGTAACGTCTCCCTGTGGACTGGTGTGGATGCTCTGCCGCCATGTGCTTCCACTGCAGCACCGCCATCTCCCGGCTCAAAATGAGCAGGTGTCTGTAACTGGTGATGGCTCTGGGGAACAACCCGCATACAGCAGGAGTGGGGAACGTCCAGCCCACAGGCTGTACAAGCTCTGCCAGCACCCAGGCAACCACAGGTGGGGGCTGAAATCCAACGAATCTGCAGCAGGCCAGTGGTTTAAGTGGGTCACTTTATAAGGTGTGCAAATGCTGTCAACAACCACATCAGAAAAAAGGCACCGCACCACACTCATAACGCATCATTCTTCACCTGAGGGCCCACGTCCAGGACTGGTGGTCTGACTGTGGAATGCATGTGTCAGTACGGGGCCTCCTCTGTGGATGGCAGACCCAGACACACACGGAGGATGTGGCAGCCCGTGGGGCCTGCAGAGAACATGTGGTACCATAAAAGGGGAGCAGGGCAGATGGGACCGCTATCCCACACAAGCAACGTCGCCAAATACCCAGTAAATTGAGACTCTGGGGTTGACTATGTCAGCAAAGACACTGGAAGGATTTCCTCATCCTTGGACTAGCGAAATCAACAGCATTTCAGAGCTGTCCAACTGCCTGAACAGAACCCTCAGAGCGTGCTCCACATCGGGGACCCTGCATTGATGTTGGGTGGCCGTTCCCCATCCCTGGATGCTGGGACGGTTGGAAGGCTGGGTGCAGCTTCTCCCCTAGTCTCAGCTCTATCCCCAGGTAAAGGAAGAAAAAAATTTTGGAAACAATGGTCTTACCCTAATCCTTTCCCCGATCCTCAATCCTTCCCACCCAGATCAACTGTGTAAACAGCACCAAAAACAAAAACTGCGAAGAATGAAGGGCCAATGTTCAGTGCCCACCAGGTCCTGCGGGCACGCCTTCCCAAGGCCGAGGCCCTCACTCCCACAACTCTCGGGTAAGGAACTAACAATGTCCTCCTTCTGCTCAGGAGGAAATGGAGGCACAAGGTCACACAGCTGAGGGCCTGCCGAAGAACCAGAGCTCCAGCGCCTTCCACCGGAGATGCCTGCCACCCCGGGCTGGCCAGCCGCACCCACGCGGACACAACCCGTTGGCACTCCCTGCACTCCAGCCTATCTGATCATGTGCAGGACTAAAGCCACAGGATATCCAACAACATGGACCAAATGTCCCCAGGCCGATCCCAACTACGCAAGGGCTTCATGCACAAACATAAAAACCTTTTAAATGCACTTCAGTTAAAAAAAGAAAAATCGCTTTGACCACAAGACGCAAACCCTCACGACCAAGTCAACGCAAGCTCAAGGTCTCGTGAAGTCAGGTTAGAGAGCCCGTAGCATGCCCGTCCCCATGCTGGCCAAGTGGGGGCCCCCGGTTCTCCAGCGAGTGTCCACACAATACAGGCACTTGTAACACACATCCCTGGAACGAAAAAAGGACAAAGCCCTTGTCATTTGTGTCCTACCTAATAGCATTCGATCTCAGATGCTCCTCTGATTTCAAGTTCTCGGTCCTCATCTGGGACTGAAATGAAACGTTTGCTCCCACAGTGACTATCTGCCAGAACATCCAATCTTTCATAAGGCAGAAAGCTTTAAGTCTCTCTAGACAGGGGAGAGGGAAACAGGAGTTAACACACACACAACGACAACGTGACAGAAAGGCAAAGGCAAAATACCAAACCCCCTTTCCTTTTGCATTTACTTTCTTAGGACAGGCAACTTAAAAATGCTTCAAATATTTCTAACACATTCTTGTTCTGGGGCTGAAGCAAACGCACATCTTGCTTCTGAAAGCCAAGAGGTGTGAACAAGACAGAGGCTGTTCTCCAGGAGTGCCATGACAGGTGGCACACCTTCCTTCCTGACCCTCTCTGGTCCCCTGCAGGTGCTCAGTGGTGTCAGGGGCTGTGCACACAGGGAGCACGAGCAGGCACGGCCCTGGTCACAGACAGACAGCTCAGCAAGAAGAGAAGCAACGAAGGGTAGGCTTAGAAAGAGGGACTTAGGAGTGACACTGTCCACACTTGGGGGTGTGCAAGGCAGCACGTCCAGCCACAGGAAAACGGCACGCTTTCTTGGAGACATCTACTCGGCTCAAGATCTGGACAAAATAAGCAGTTTTTACTGGCTGCTCATCATTTTATCCATTATAATTATGCTGAATACTCTCATGTGCCGGAGCCTGCTCTCAGCTCAAGCCAAGCTCCGCCCCTTGCTGGGAGCCTAGAATGACTCCGTGGCAGGCCCACTGTGACAGACAAGATGACACCATACCTACCTCCTTGAGACGTCTGAGGAGTGCAGGAAGCAACACGCCAGCCACCTGGTCAGGATCAACAGTGACCGCCACTATGCCTCCTCCCAACAACTGGGCACAATTACCCTGAGGACGTCAATCCGAAAGGGGAAGCTAAGAACCCACACCAATCCGTTCCACAGCAGTTTTTCGTAACTGTCAAACACATCTGAAGAGGAACTTGCAGGCTCCCAGTGGTCAGGCCTCCAGCTTGACTTCAGTGGAAAATGAGAAAACACCTCAGAAAAACTCCTTAGTGTAACGCATTAAGACCCCCCACACTGAAACAGCTGCTTCTCGCTCTTCTGCCCTCCACCTGCAGAAGCAGCGGCTGCGCCTGGGGGTCTGGCCTCAGCCTGGCCCAGCCCTGGACATGCAGCCACTCGGGAGGAGAATGGGTAGGTAACATGTGTTTCCACCTCTGCGCCTTTCAAACAGATGAAAATGAACATTTTTCTTTAAATGCTGAGAAAACATCTCTACTCAGTCTCACTGCAGAGATAAGCCACATGTTTAAAAAAGTGGAGGCCATCACAAAATTCAGAACTGTTCAGTCCCAAGTAAGGCCCTCCAGGCCGCCCAGGCCGCCCGTGCAGGAAGCATTCAGGACCACGAGGAGGCCGCTGTGCCAAGGCAGCTGCTTCCTATCAAAGTCGTGGCAGAAGCAGCCGGGTCATGTATATACCAGTTAAGGAGTGGAAGGGAAAACCACACACACACCTTCTCAGGAACACTAACAAAGATGGAGGCGAGTCTGAAGGGCAATCAGAATTTATGAATACTTACACCAATCTCATGAGATCAACGACCCGTGTAACACACAGACACTGCTATCCCTCCACAGAAACAGGAACTGGGAGTGAGCCACAGCCAACACTTGTGAGAACACCACTGGGACACAGAGCGGACAGGGCTGGCATGGAAACGGCAGGAGAGGGGCACGTGCTGCAGACCCCCTGCGGGCACACCAGGAAAGCAGCAGAGGATGGCCCAAGGGGTGGGCCCCTGCACCCATGGGAGACCTGGAAGCAGCTCCAGGCTCCCAGCTTCCCGCCCCGCTCTGGCCATCACAGCCTTTGGGAAGTCAATCAGTGCATGGAGTGTCTCTCCCTGCAGCTGTCTTTCCAATAAAAATAAAATGAAATACACACAAAACTTTAAAAAGAGTGAGAACAGGAAGGCAGTATTTCCAAAAAGGTGTTAAAGGGAAAAGTTGGTGAAGAAACCAGATCTCAGACAGGGAGATCAGACAGGGGAAACCAGGAACCCTAAGCCACAGGGGAGAGCTCACTCCTCAGCGAACAGGAATGCCCAGAAGGCGCAAGTGCATTTGTTCCCATCGGGCAGGGCCAAAGGTCGCAGTGCACGCCAGCCACCCTCAGGACTGCACGTGAGCTTCCCGAGATCTTGGGAACTCCATGGGACAGGGCCAAATACGACCCAGCTGGCAGGACTCCCCTCCGCAGCGCTCGGCTCGACTTCACCTCTGTGACCTGCTTACACTTTCCTGCAAGGCAAGCTACACCCATCTATCAGGCCAGGATCCAGCACCGTGTTAACACTGAGCAGCCGCCCGACAGATCTTCAACAGTCATGTCGTGGTGACAGCAAAGTGCATGTGTACAAAAGATCTGAGAGAAGAAAGAAAAACAGAAACAGGGACCTGCCTTGCTTTCTGTCCCTAGTGGGACGAGCTGGGCCACGAGAAGGGACAGGCTCACAGCAGGGCTGGCAGGACCGGTGTGGCATGCAGGCACTGAGGGCAGGTGGGAGGCCAGGAAAAGCACGACCCGGGACACACTCCACCTGCCCAAGGACCCAGCATGTGCGTGCTGCCAGTCAAAGATGGCTAGCAGGGAGACGCAGCTCAGCCTCACTCAGCCTGGCCACTGTGGGCATCTGAGGAACGAACCACTGTAAGGACATGTCTTTATCTCTGCCTTTTAAATAAAGTAAAAAAATAATTAATAGACTAAAAGCAGGACAAGGGAAATCACCTTTCCCCTCCCACTCCCTCTGCTGGAATAAGCGCCCCCCGTCTCCCCCACACTACCCACTACCCGAGCACTGAACCATCTTCCTCCGGACACTGGAGGCCGCACAGGCCAAGTCCCTCTCGACTGGGCCCTGCACCCAGTCCGCAGGCAGCAGCTGCCAACGCACCGACGAAGGCATGAAGCCTGACCACAGTAACTGGTGTAGGGCTACAGGGAACAGGAAAACGACCAGAGGCCATCTTCCGACTTCATGCATCAGCGGCTCTGCCCCACCTCCAGGGACACCTGACCGTGTGCGAGGGTCACCGGCCATCCCCAGCAAGGGAGGCAGCCAGCAGGAACGCACACAGCACACAATGTCCTGGCCTCAAGTGCCAGAACGTGACGGGGCTGAGAAACTTGGTGTCAATGAGGCAGATGCAGAAAAGCAAAACCCAAAGCTGAGCGGCTACTTCGCACAGCAGGGATCCCTCAAGCTCCCTCCACCTCTTCGGGCTCACTACACGGTGGGCCTGCCTTCCTCAGCTCACCACCTTGCCAACCACAGGCACCAGCCCTCGCCAGGTGACAGGTCTGCCAGAACTCCACGCGCCCGCCTCCTGTAACTGCTGCTGCGTCCCTCCCAGCTACATTCCCTAGGACCACAGAACACAGCAATACATGAAACTGCAGTTCACCTTCAAACCAGCAACACGTGATGCACCTGCCCCACACCTGTAACAGATGGACAATCACATCCCAAGACACCCACTAAGTAGTTCAGCCCTGACCAAGGGCTCGCAGGCGGCCAGCCCCTCCCAGGCAGACCTCGCAGGCTCGGGGCGAGGGACGCAGCAGGGACGCCAACTCCGTGTGTGACTCGCCACCCTCAAGCCGCCCTGCCGGAAGCCTGCTGCACTAGCGGGTCCAGACGCAGGCCTCACAGCCAGGAAACACCAACAGAAAGCTCGGCAGCAGCCGACACACCAGGTAACTCGCACACCGACACACGACATTTGCATTCTGAATCCAACTGAAACCACGATGGAAGTAAAAGCTAAGGTGCAACAGCGCAGCAGGTCACACACCATGACAGCCTGGAAGCCTCAAGGGACGAACAGTCTTTCTGAAGGGCTGTCCCAGGTTTGTGACAGTGTCATGTCTGCATCCTGCCAAGGACGCACGTGGGGAGGGGACAGCCAGGACCTGGCCCAGCAGACTGCAGTCTCACATGGAAGTGCCTGCTCCTTGCCCCCTCTCCCAGCTCGCCACCAGCCCCAGCAGCCTCGCGCTCTGCCCACCCCAAGCCCGACGGTCCTGCATACCTCCCCAGAAAGCCGGTATTTAGGACTCCTATCTGAATGAGCCCATCTTTCTGTGGAGAAGACAAGCCTGTGGACATGGTCCCACCAGAACCAAGGTTCCGACAAAGGAGAGGACACTCAGTCCGTCTCCTGGCAGCCAGAGCGCTGCTGCATGGGCCCGTGGCACCCGGCCTCGGCTCCTCATGCCCTCACAGTGCCTGGCACTGTGACACGCCCTCTGCTTCCCTGGATCCATGACATCATTTTCCACATTTCTGGTCTTTCCAAACACCATCCTAATTAAGGTGTGACTTTTCACTTCACCTACTATCTCTTCTATAGTCCAACCCCCATCAAATGAACTCATTTTATTGAATGAGGCATCCATTTTTAAAAAGTTTATTTTGTTGAAAAGCTTTCAGTTTGAAAAGTTCTCAATGTTAGCCCAGAATCACTGTAGTGAAAGCTATTTCTAATTTTTTAAGACTTATTTCACTTTTATTGAAAGGCATATATACAGAGAGAAGGAGAGACAGAGAGGAAGATCTGTCCACTGATTCTCTCACCAAGTGACCACAACGACTAAAGCTGCAACAAAGCCAGGAGGTTCTCCCAGGTCTCCCACGCAGGTGCAGGGCCCCAAGGCTTTGGGCCATCCTCGACTGCTTTCCCAGGCGACAAGCAGGGAGCTGGATGGGAAGTGGGGCATCCAAGATTAGAACCAGCGCCCATATGGGATTCTGAAGCACGCAAGATGAAGATTTAGCCACTAAGCCATCGCACTGGGCCCAAAATCTAATTTTTGTAAAACTTTCAACTTACTTGATGTCTAGTTAGTCTATTACTAAAGAAAACAAACAGAAAGCCTTTTTCTTTCTAACAACAACGAAAAAACCCTTCTCTTGCCCGGACACACCTCCTCTGGCAGCCGCACCTCCAGGCCTCAGCCCCTCTGCACCCTCACTTTCGGCTCTTCTGAAACGGCCCGCTGGCTTCCCAGCTCCCTGGCACACGCTCGCTCATTTACTCTAACAAATTAAAATTCAGCTGAGGCAAAACTAATTTTAATCTACACGAGGGAGGCTTTGTAGCTATGCAGGTTGAAAAGCTGCCCAGTCATGGTCTTCCATCCCATCAAGGTAGGCTCAAGGTCACAGGGACTAGAGGATGCACACGGCCCACACTCCCTCTGCAACACCCAGCAGCCTGTCCGGGTGTCCGTGGAGACAGCCCGCAGGCGTCGCTGGCCACCTGCACTGGAAAGCCGCCCTAGAGCAGACGCGAGCTCGGGCCTTCTCCCCAGCCTCCCAACGCAGCTGCACACTTCCACCAAGGCCCCCTTCCCCGACCCATCAGTTCAGGGTTGGCTCGATTCACCTGGACAGTGGGCCCAGGTCCAGCCGGAGGCAGACCGTGGCAGTCCTGGCCAGGCCGCCCCAGATGCCTTTCCACAGGGCTGGAAATGTGGCACCTTTACATGTTGCATTCCTTTTCTCTCTTCTCCAAAGCATCACATTTATCTGCACTCATCTCTCTACCACGAATTCCACAACTCCAGCCTAAGTTTCCTCCTCAGCACAGCACACTGTCAGCACCCACACAGCACCGGTTCGAGTCCCCGCCGCTCCACTGCTGATCCAGCGCCCTACTAAAGCAGTTCAGGAAGGCACGAATGCTTGGGCCAGGTGCGCATGTGGGAGACCCGGACGGAGTTCCAGGCTCCTGGCTTCAGCCTGGCTCAGCCCTGGCCATCTGGGAAGTAAACCAGTGGTTGGAAAATGTCTTTCCGCAACTCTGCTTTCCAAAAAAAAGGAATCTTAAAAAAAAAAGAGCAAAAAACAAACCCACCACCTTCCCATTCAGGTTTGTCTCTTTTTAGCTTCATCATAACCTTATTTTACTTCATACAAATAGTCATTTTTCTAACACATGTTTAAAAACATGTTAATTCTGGGGCTGGCATGTTGGTTCAATGGCTAACCCTCTACCTCCAACTCTAGGATCCCATATGGGCACCAGTCCATGTCCCGGCAGCTCCACTTCCCATCCAGCTCCCTGCCTGTGGCCTGGGAAAGCAGTCGAGGATTGGCCAAAGCCTTGGGACCCTGCACCAGCGTGGGAGACCCAGAAGAAGCTCCGGGCTCCTGGCTTCGGATCAGCTCAGCTACGGCTGTTGTGGCCTTTTGGGGGGGTAGACCGGCGTATGAAAGATTTTTGTGTCTCTCCACTCTGTAAACTCAAGCCCAAATCTTCCTGACCCTCCAGGGGTCTCTCACGTGGATAAGTTGGTGTGGCCAGTGGCCGAGGGCAACACACAGCCTCGCGGGGACCCACTCCCCCACGCACACTCTCCTCCTGCCGTGCCTCCCATGGTCACGCTGGCAGTGCCCCCAGCATGCCTGCCGGCCCTCCGTCTCCACCCCCTGCTCACCACCCACCGTGCGGCCTTCCATCTGGTGCCCACCATGCGGCCCTCCACCCTCACTGGTGCCCACCCCACCGGCCCTCCACCCTGTGCTCGCTACCCACCGTGTGGCACTCCACCCTCCACCTGGTGCTCACCGTGCGGCCCTCCACCCGACGCTCGCTGCCCACCCTACCGGCCCTCCACCCGGTGCCCACCGTGTGGCCTTCCGCCTGGTGCCCACCCTACCGGCCCTCCACCCGGCGCCCACCGTGTGGCCTTCCACCTGGTGTCCAAC